AAAAAAAAAAAAAAAAACAGAAACAGTAACAAAAGACGTAATAAGAGAAAACTTTTCCTACAATTTGAATTTTTGGATAAAAATGAGAACAAACTGGGAAATTTTCTAAAATATATGATTCTTGAACTTTGGAAAAGAGATCAAGATACTATTGACTGCATTTGGTTTTAGATATTAAGTTTTGGTTTAGAATGTGGTGTTAAGTGTGAACTGGAATCAAAGAAACTTTGCAAATCAATAAACTCTGATTCTATATGTAAACTAAAACAATAGTGCCAATAACAAATTAGGACTGCTTATTTCAGCACACTTTTTGAATAAAGTAATAAGACCAAAAAAAAAAAAAAGAAGAAGAAGAAGAAGAAGAAGAAGAAACTAGCAGAATCTGCCTTTTTACTGTCATCCACATGTGTCAGATGTTTTCTAGGCAAACACTACATAAAATATAAGTTTTGGTCAAAGGCTAAATTTACTATATGTTTCATTATCCTCTTAAGAAGATTAAGAATGTTTTTTTCTTTCATCAATTTTTAATGTTAGCCATACAAAAATCATTTAATGGCTTGTGCAAAATTTAGTCATCAGCTCATTTTGCACAAAGGTAATTAATAAATGCATGATACTTGAAGCCGACACCACATCTCCAGAAAGTTATTCCATTCCTGGAAGAACTTTCCAGACAAAAAGAGCAGAAGAGTGTAGATACTTTAATGATTCTACCTGCCCCAGGAGAGAAGCCTCCCTTTCTTAGTTCTGGATCTTGAAGGGTCAATATCTTACAACCTGTGTTTTATACACTCGTCCCTTAGTATTCATGGGGGATATGTTCCAGAACTCCCCAAGGATACCAAAATCTGATGATGCCTAAGTCCCTGATATAAAATAGGTTTGTATTTGCATATAACCTATGCACATTGTCCTGCGTATCTTTGCGGGTTTTTATTAACAGAGTTTGGAGACCAGTTGCTTAAAACTATGATCAAAAGACTTTAGGGGTAGGGGCTGGCTAATTAGCTCACTTGGTTAAAGTGTGGTGCTGACAACACCAACATCAAGGGTTTGGATCCCCATAACAGCCAGCTGCCAAAAAAAAAACAACTTTAGGGCTAAATGTAATATAGAATACCAGATTGCATCTTGGAACAGAAAGGGCCATTACAGGAAAAATTGGTGAAATCCAAATAAAGTCTAGAGTTAATCTCTTAGTTTTGACAAATGAGCCATAGTTATGTAAGATGTTAACAATGGGGAAAACTGTATGAGGGTATGTAAGAATTCTCTGCAATATCTTCGCAACTTTTCTATAAATCTAGTACTATTCCAAAATATAAAGGTGATTTTCTGCGGGGGGATGTCTGGCCAGTAAGGGGATTCGAACCCTTGACCTTAGTGTATAAAGGTGATTTTAAAAGTCCTCGAGGTGGGCCAGCCTGGTGGCGCACTCGGTAGAGTGCGGCGCTTGGGAGCACGGTGGCGCTCCCGCCGAGGGTTCGGATCCCATATAGAGACCGGTCCGCTCACTGGTTGAGCGCAGTGCGGGGGCGACACCGAGGGTTGTGATCCCGTTGCCGGTCACGAAAAAAGACAAAAAGGAAAAAAAAAAAAAAAAGTCCTCGAGGTGAAAGACTACATACATTAGAACGCATCAGTTCTTTAAAGCAAACAAGGAAGCTTCAAAAATTTATGGGCTTATCTCAGTTGATTAGAGTGCGATGTTGTAACTAACAAACACCAAGTTCAAGGGTTCGGATCTCCTTACCGGACAGCTGCCAAAAAAAAAGATTTACGGAGCATCTGGGAAAAAGTACACTGTAGGGGAAACCACATACAAGAAAGGCTTAAAGACCCATGATGGATTTAGTTATGAGGCTCCAGCTCACCCCATCCTTGGCCAGAATGAAGAACTGTAGTCTCCACTTAAATTAATGCCAAGATTTAAGACAGCAGAGGGAGCGGTTCATAGCTGAAGGTGACCCACGGCCAGAAGGAGCAGAAGGAACACACTTAGAAACCTCTCCTCCAGGCTCATGAATGCACAGCCATGACTTCCTCCTCCCATCCAGCTCCTCTGCACATGCATATCGTCAGACATCTCTTTTTCCTGTAAATTACAGGCCCCAAACCTCTTCTATAAGTGAGAAAGAGAGCAATGTCCTTGAGGTCACAAGATTTCACCAACTGTCTCCAAGCCCTCAGCAGCGAGAATTGCAACACTAAGGGAGACATCTCCTTTCATGGGACCACAGGTGACACACCTTCACCCCTGGCACATAATCTGTCCCCATACTGGAGCCTGTAAAGATTTCACAATCTCAGACCCCACATCCCTGCAGTCCCCTCCCCTTGGCTCAGCTACCGTCTGTTAGTGTTCAGTTCAGCTTTGATGCCGACCTTCCAAAAACTGGGTTAGGCATGCTTAAGAGCTCCTAAAACACCTTTTTTTCACTCCATCATCAAACGATATCAAAATTGCCTGTTTATCTATGTATCTTCCAGCCTAGACCTAAACACCTGTGGCTAAGGGATGTCTTTTTCATAGGTGTGCCCAAAATCAGAGTTTGGCTCATCACCTGGACGGGCAAAGGTTTGGGAAAAGGGCTGCTCATCCACACCCCATCTTTTGGGAAGGTAACAGGGCAGAATCTGTTGAAATTCAAACTGCAAAATCCCTGGCACCCAGCAGAAATACTAATGCATGTGTGCACTGATGGTAAATTCAAGGGTGTCCAACAAAATCTTACTTATAACAGAGAAAAGGGGGCACGACTGGCAGTGGTTGAAAACATGACCACAAATTCTGAAACACTGCTTTCAAAAGGTAGAGCCTAGGGCCAGCCCATTGCTCACTTGGGGAGAGTGCGGTACTGATAACACCAAGGCCATCGGTTCGGATCCCTATATAGGGATGGCCAGTTAGCTCACTTGGAGAGCATAGCGCTGACAACACCAAGCCAAGGGTTAAGATCCCCTTACCAGTCATCTTTTTTTTAAAAAAAGGTAGTGGGCCGACCCCGTGGCGCACTCGGGAGAGT